TCAGGGGTTCAGATCCAGAGAGCCCCTAGCAGGGCTGTGGGGAGGGAGTGGAGCAAGAGGCCGGTTGTGTGTGGCCTGGGAGCTGCCAGGCCCCAGGCAGCAGCCTGAGGAGCACAGCCTCACTTCCCCTTGGGGGGTGGGGGTGAGCAGAGAAACCAAGAGTCACCAGGGCCCCCAGTCCCCCCAGGATGCCATCCAAATCTGGAGTCAGCGCTGCTAATAACTTAAAGGCCAGCTGACCCCACTTTCTCATTTAATGGATGAGAAAAGTGAGACCCAGCCATGGAAAAGAATGGCCTCCAGAAAGCCTGGCAAGGTGAGGGCCAGACCCTCACTCTCAAGCCCTTGGTTTCACCCAAGCCCCCATAGGCCTAGGACATCCCCACTGATAAGTTCTTTCAGAAGGCATTACAGTAGAGAAACAGGCAGAAGGAAGAACGGAAAGGGCTTTATTATTTTTGAGGGCATGGAGAGGATCAGGGAAAGATAAGAGATTCTCTGAACTGGGACAAAGGGAGGCTGAGGTTTTCATGGCCTGTTGCCAGGGGTAGAGTTTGAGGGGGAGGTTTAGATATACCTGATGGAACTGACTGGGGCCTTCCCTGAGGTGGCGGGAAAGGTGAAAGGAAATTGCACCCTGGGCTGGGTTGGAGAAGAAGGGGGGAGGTGGTCTCCGGGAAGATACTGTTGTTTTAAGGGTTTCGGTCTCATATTAGATGACCACCATAATAATTCAGCAGTTCATGAACCGACCACGTGGTACTCAGGGAAATACAAAAACCTTGTGGCTTGGAGGACCATAGCAGCAGGGCAAAAAGAAGCAGAAGACCCACCACAGACCACTCCTCACCCTGGGCCTGGGGAAGGGCCTGATGACTCGGGGGCAGCTCCAGGATCCTCTGCCTCCCTGGGAACCCAGATGCATCATCCACTCCTCATTCTCCCAGTGACCACAACTAGAGCACTTGTCCAGGCCCAGTGACATCCTAGGAAGTCAGCGCCTAAGAAGACCTACCCACCCCCACCACCCCTCAGTCCTACCTCTGACAGGGAGGAGGTGGGTGGGATTTGGAGCACCTGCTAATCAGACCGGGGAGAGGCTGCTCAGCGTGAGTGGCTTGGCCCTGGCTTCAGAAAGTCAGGTCCACCATGACTTTCTGAGCAAAGAGCCACTGTCAACACAGGATCTCCCATGTGAAAAGTCTTGTGTACTTTGAACCCTTATTTAGTGGCTGAGCAGTGGCTGAGCCTTGTCTCCCTTCTCCCCCATCTTACTTTCACCTCAAACCAACACCAAAGATCCCACTCCCAGAAAGTCGCAAGGCAAAGGGCAACAGACCAGTGTCTAGTTCCCACTCGCTCACTGCCCACACCTCTTCATTTAACAGCTGGAAGCCTAGCATCCACTGAGTCAAGCCCTTGATCAGTTCTAGGACCCAAGGGCTGATGGGACTCTGGGCCTGCCTGAGGGAGACAGAGTCACCAACTCCATAGCAGAGCAGAAGTCACCCAGCACCACCTGTGGTCATGTTTTCTCACACACTCACCTTGCCTGATTGTTAATGCCTTTGCTTTTCTTTAAAATGTGTTGGGAGTTCTACCTAAAAGTCCAGTTTCCCAGGACCCCCGGGAGACCCCACAACACTGTCCAGGTGGCATCCCTCACCCAAGGCAGAGTACTGACTGTCCCTTTGCAGCTAGACATTTCCATGTGCAGCAGGCTGCACCTCTCCTAGCATCCACAACCCAGAGACTCAGCATCAGTTTCCCGAGTAGTGCTGTCACCAGACAAGGTCCAACAAGGTCCCTCAAACAGCAAATGGGGATCTCAACCCCCCTCACTCACAGGGTTGTTGGAAGATTCGGTGATATATACTGTGATAAATAGCCAGAGTTTTAGACTAAGGACAGGCACAGGGCTATTAGACAGAAAGAAGCGCACACTCAGAAGGGTGCATGTGCATGCACGCAGCATGGCTTGTGATGGCGTGGGATGGGGGAACTTGTACATTTGGGGGGTGTCCTCAGATGAGGAATCGTCTCTCGGGGAGCTCATTGGTAGGCTAAGATGCAAGCTGTGTGAGCTTGGAGTTCAGTGACAAGGGGCCCATGCAATAGGCTGCCGCACTGAGGGTGCGGGTCTGTGGGCGGGAAAGCTTAGGCCCAGTTACAGCTGCCAGGCACTGCCCCAGTCTGCAAGCTTAGCCTATTTTTAAGACCTTTAAGGATTTTTTTTTTTTTTTTGAGTGAATCTCCTGGAAGAAAAAAGGGCATTGCAACTTCAGCTCATTTTGATACCGTACTGAAGCTGTTTTCTTAAAAAATCCAATGTTAAGATGATGATTGCTCCTGTCTTCTTTTCTTTATTTCTTCGGTTCTGTTCAGCCCTATTGGTTCTTTGATGCGCCAGACAGCCTCACTGCCAGGTGCCTAGGGAAGACCCTCGTGTAGTTGAAAGTTCTTCAAATCGCCACCAGAAGGCGCTGTAGGAGCACACAGGACCGGGGTCCCGGGCGCAGCCTGCAAGAGCCTAAAACTCCAGGCTTCTGGCTGGCCTGAGGAAGCACACAGCTTCTGGGCTGTCTGTCCTCTGTGCTTCCTCCTCTGTGTCGGAATGTTCATTAATTCATCTAAATGTGCACTTAGCAAGCATTTACAAACTACTTGCCCTGTTCTCAGCACCTTACCAGGCCCTGACCGTAGCTACCAAGAGTTTAACGTAGTTAGCAAAACCAGATATATAAGATTATGTGTCGCCTGTGTGCGGTGACGCGCTCACCAAATTCCTCCAGCATCTAGCATTAACTGTCTGGTGCCCAGGGGGTTCCCAACCAATACTTCTGCACAAATGAATGAAAAGGTAACATAGTCACTGCGCTCTTCCTAACTCTACGTGTACTGTCACAGGCCTCAACATCAATCCTGTTATTATCCTATTTTACTGATAAAGCGAGCGAGACAAAGTTCAGCCAATGGGCTAGGGTCAGCCTGAACTCTTAACCACTCCGGTGCGGAGCGTCTCAGCAGGGCAAGGCAGTAGCCAAGGGTCAGCACACGCGGAGCTCACACAGGGCAGGGGGGTCTGGGCAGCAGACAAAGGCTGCATGAGGACTAGAGAAAAGGTCTTGTTGGGGCGAAACAGGAGAAGGGTCTTGCCTGACGGCAGGGAGGGGCTGGGGTGGCCGAGAGGACCTGGACATGCCCAAAGGAGGCCTCCAGACACCCTTCCAGGTCAAGGCAGGGGTGCCCATAAGGGAATGCGCTGATTCTGCATATGCAAAGGTGCCCAGCCCTGGCTATGTGCGCAGGAGGAGAGGAGCACGAATAAGAACCTGTCTCCAGGAATCTACAGCCCTGTTATTAACCAGGGGAAAATATGCAAAGCACCTTACTCCGGGAAAGCAGATGTTGGGAGCCAGAAGTGGGGTGGAGGGAATTGTCCCAGAGGAAAAGATGAGAGCACTTTTGAGGATGAGGCAGCATTTGAACTGAAGCGTGACAGATGGACAGGCAGAACGACTTCTTCAGGGAAATCACCCTTAACCAGGAACAGGGAAGTCTGCAAGGATTCCTGCTGTGTCACCCACCAGCTCTCTGATCTCACTCAGGCCCCCCTTCTGGGCTTTGGACCCTTCCTCCACAATGCAAAAATGTTGATCCCCTGAGAGTCTCTCTAAGCCTGGCTCCCATCCCAGGAATGTAACAACCCTTACAGAGCCTGGCCCTCCAGAAAGCACCGTCAAAGAGCCAGGAGCACATGGGGGAGGAGCAGCCCACCCTCAATTGCAGAGAGCACAGGTTGCCCAGCAGGGGAGGACACTGGGTCCCTGTCGACCTCTGGCACTCACAGGGGTGGGACAGGGCGCATGAGGCAGAAGAGGCACCTCAGCTTGCTGGCTTGCTTGGGAAGAGCAGGGTATGGGTTGAAAGGGAAGTGAGTTGACCAACCAGCTTCCTCTCAAACCAGCTCAGGCCGAAACAAAGGAAAGAGCTGGCTTACATGAACGCTTCCTGGCCTGCTCCCGCCCCCTCCCTGGCACGATTGCCACACTGCTCACCTGTGTGTCAATCCTCTGCAGAGAAGGCTGTGCCGAGGGCTGCCTATAAATGCCAGGGCCGCACAGCCCTGCCAGTGCACTGTGTCTCCTTGGCTCTGGTAAGTGAGCTCCAGCAGGCTCCGGGCGGGAGCCTGCTAACCAGGTCTTTCTTTGCTGCTCCCAACTTTCTTCCAAATTCTTCTCCAAGAAGGGGTGATCCTGCCCATTCCATAGTGTCCTTCACACATTCTTAAAGCTTTCTACCCGCCCCCCCCCAGCTGTGCTTCTTTTAACATTCTCTGTCCAAATTCTTTTCTCACGTGTGTGTGACAAATCTTCTCCTCGATTAAGTGGCATCTTATGCTTCCTTTTATTTTATTATCCCCCCTTTTCCTTCCGGCCTGTGGCCAGAAGACTTGCCAAGGAAGCATGGTGCCCCCCTTTTCTATGTGGCCTTACCCTTGTCTCTTTATTATTCACGCAGAGTACAAGAAGATGGCAGCTGAAATGTCACAGCTGGAAAGCAGCTTAAACACCATTATCGACACCTTCCACCACTACTCTACGAAAGAGGGGCACAAGGACACCTTAAACAAGAAGGAATTCAGCGGTCTGGTGAAAACTGAGCTGCCAAACTTCCTTAAGGTAGGGCTTGACTAAGATGAGACGGGCGAGGGACGGCCTGCTGAGGACAAGGGGAAAATTCTAGTCCTCTCCATCCAGAGGCAGCTGGGGCTGTCATGAGCGGTGCTCCAAGTTAGCTGCACCAAGTGGAGAAATTGTTCAACTGAACACCTGCTATGTGTGACACCCTGCATGGAGCACAGGGAGGTGAACAGGAAACCTACTGTCCTGAAGCAGCGGTTGGCCGTACAAGAGAGAGCACAGTTAAATCCAATGCCATAGGTGCCCTGGGGGAGAAAGAAGAGTGGGGGAGGAACAGGCATGACTCTATTGTGGAAAGGTCTCCTTGTGGAGGTGACATTTGAGCTGAGCCCTCTGGGGGGCCCTAGGCAGGAGGCTGAGGGACACTAAGCCCCATCAGGGAGCAGGCCTGAAGGGCTTTCCTCATCCTAAGGATCCCCAGCAGAAAGCAGAAGTGAGGACCAAGTAGAAAGCACCTAGCGCAGCCCAGGATGAACGAAGGATGTGGCGGAACGTGATTGCTCTCCCGCATCTGAAAGGCACCAGGCTGTTCTAGGGCCATGGGAGATCCTCCACACAGCCTTTTCATTTCCTTTTCAAGTTTGGGGAAACAGAGGCCTAGACTAGGAAGGACGGTGACACACGGGTCTCAGTGTCAGTTCCTTTCCTGAGTCCAGCTGACCTGGGACAAGTCCCCAGCCCTCACCATTACCCTGGTAAGGTGGACAACTATCCTGTTAAGGACACTGACAGCTCCCCATAGGCGTGGTCACAGGCAAGCAGTATTGGGGTCAGGTTAGGGAGAGAAGGAGCAGCCAGGAGGCTGTGACAAGGTCTCCCTCCATGGAGCCCTGTGTGCTCCATTCCCTGCTCCTTGACATCCTCTATGGGAGCTGGATGAGCCAGTTAGGCTTTGGAAGCGGTCATGGATGAGGTGACCCAGCCTATGGACAGCAGAGCTAAAGTCACCAGGTGCTCTCTTTGCCCCGGTAAAGTGCTCACTGCCTGACAGCTCCCTCAAACGCACTGGGGCAGCCAGCACCTACTCTGCTCCCTGCCCTCACCCCAGATCCCGCATTGTCTGGTTTTGCTGGGTGCTTCCTTGCTACAGAAGTAAAAATGAACTTGGCTGGCCACCTGGGGAGAGGAGTAGGCAGTGACAGGACAGGAGAGAACAGGGAATAGAGCAGGGCTGGGCTCCAAGTGAGACCTGCTTCCTGGCCTTCTCAGCGCACAGGAACTATGCATTCTAAAATGTGCTTTGCTCAAGGAAGACGCTGCTTCTGCTTGTTAGAAGTCATGAGGACTAGATATGGAGACATTTTCAGACGTGCTCATTGCAGGGCCTTCCTTGTACAACCCTTGTCCTACCCAAGCTGTAGGAGTATGTGGGAACAAGCTGGCAGGTGGTTAGCACAGGTTTAGCCTCCATCCTGGGTACTCAGGTCATTATTAAAATTTTAATTTTTAAATTGGGTCCTAAGGCCCAGGCTTTCCTATGCATTTGCCATCCGGACATAGACAGTGCCCCCCTGTGCTGCACCCTTGGCTACACTCGGCCCTAACAGTCACTTTCTCTACCTGCAGTGTGAGAGTAGGGACGAAGCAGAGATAAATGATATCTTGGAGGACCTGGACACGAACCAGGACCAGCAGCTGAGCTTCGAGGAGGTCATCATGCTGTTCGCCAAGCTGATTAATGCCACCCACGAGAAGATGCACGAGGGGGGTCACCACCGTGGCCATGACCATAGCCATGGGCCAGGCCTTGGAGAGGGCGGCCAAGGCAAGGGTTGCTAGTAATCTGGAGACCAGGCCACCTACCCTTGCCTGACCAGGTGCATGAAAAGTGTGTCACATCATCTTAAATGTGGGGCTGGGAGGGGGTAAATAAAGTTGTCCTATACGCCATCACTCTGTGTGTTTTGTCTGTCCCCTGCCTAGCCAGTCACCTGGCCCTAGACAGTCCTGCTGTTGTCTGCAGCTCAACCCCTGTAGTTGTTGAGAACCAACAGCATGTGGGTCTGTTCTGAGCGCTTTGGGCCCACCTCTCCAACTCTGTCTTCCTTTCTGGTATCAGAACCACTGTTTAGATGCCAGACATGTTGTACAGCCTTTCAAAATGATCTTTGACACTGAAGACAGCAGGGTGGGCTATCTGTGCCCCTCAACATACCGGCTGGCCACCTCTCCTCCCAGCCCCAGCCAATCTCCATTTATCTCTGACCACAGACTTGTCTCCCTCCTCCGAGGACCCTATTCCTCTGGAGGTCTTCCAGCAGTGGATTCAGGTAGTACCATGCCTGGGGAGGAAGATGGGGCTCAGGGAGTAGAAACAAGGGTGAATTGGGTATGATTACCTACAAACTCATTTCTGGACCCAAGAGAGCATTTGGGTCTCTTATAATAAACCTAGCACTTTAAATATGGATGCTGGTGACAAACAAGGGTCCCCTCACTGGTGGAAGTGGGAGCTACCCAGGAGTTACCTCATTCCCAATCCAAGAGGGTGCCAGAATGAAAAGCCCAACTGAATTGAGCTCCAATCCAGCTTCTGCAGATGGAAGGCCCTTGAAGAGCATGAGAAACTTAGACTGTGGGCCCAGAGATCCCTGGGGCCCTGAAGGTTCAGATCAAGGGCCAGCTGATCTCCCCAGTAGCTAAGAGCTCAGGCCTTAGGGGCATTTCCTCCTCTGCAAAACCAGTGGCCAGAGCTCCTTGGGGCTGCTGTCATAGTACCCACACTCCACAACCCCCTGGCCTAAGAACTCATGATGGGCCTGCAAAGTGGCTCCTCATTCACCTCCCTCTTCTCAACCACAAAGTCCCCTGCAGGCGACAGCATTTCCACAGCACACACACACATCTCATCCTTTCAACAGAGAAGACTCACAGAACATTGACTTGAAGGAGTTGGAGAAAAATACAGTCCTCTATTCTGTTCTTATAAATGAAGACAGGCACAGAGCAGAGAAGAGCCTAGTCCAAGGCTGCCCAAACATAGAGCACTGAGAAAGGGGGCTCAAGCTCCATCTGCTCCACTGCCGGGTCTCACAACTCCCTCCTGGACCCTGAACCTAAAGAAACCTTCAGCAGGGTCAGTTTGCAGCTCCCCCTTGGTCTGGGACCCAACTTGCCTGCAGCAAGCCCCTGCTCTAGACAGCCTCAGGGCCCCGCTTTAGGTGAGAGTACAATGGTCCAGAAACTGTTCCAAGCTGTGTACCAGAGCACAGGGGTTCAGAATCCCTCACCAGCTGTTCAGTGCCTGATTTGGGGCATGACTGACAGCAGCCCTCATTTGAAAGTCTTCTGGAATCACATTCTGGGAAGCAATACTGTCCTCATCCCCACTGAATACAGCCCAGTGCAGGGACGGCAAAGCAGCCAGGACACAAGAGGCCTGAATTTAGTACAGGGCCAGCCAGGATGCTTCGGTTACAGTAGGAAAGCTCTTCTTCTGGCCCACTTGCTATCACCACCTGACCACGGGTGCAATGAATACATTTGCAACTCTGTCCCTGAATCCCCAGCAGACAGTGACAATATGAGGACAGAGACCACATCTCTCTCATTCTTGGCTTTCTTTCCAGCACCTACAGTGGGGCTGCTATATAGTAGGCTTTCAACAATTGGACTGTGTAAATACTCTAAAGTTTCTCTCATGTTTGGTGCCTTTTTCTCAGGAGAAGATGTGGGAGAAAAGAGGGATGAGGGGAGTGTGATGAAAGCATGCCAGTGGGAGACTGCTGGCCCATCAGAGAGTCTCTGACCTGAGGTAAAAGAGCAGCTCCTTTACGCAAATCTGAGAGCCCCTCCCTGCACTAGATGTAGTAAGACCAGTTCTGTTTTTCTATCCCCTGCTTTGGAGTTTGGATTTAAAGAGATTTGTTGTGAAAGAAAGTTTGAAAATCATTGATGTTGTTCCAACCTGCTCCACTTCCTGCCAAAGCTCTTAAGTCATCTTATTGAAGGCCACCAGGAAAGGGGGCTTCCCCTCATGCTGCTGATGCTCAGCTGGTCCTTCAGCACCCAGATGTCAGTCATTCTCCTCGTGCTTCCCAATTGTCAGTCCTAGTTTCCCTCCCACCTTTGGGGGCCCAAGGTAAATCAATTCCTCATCATCCTTCCCCCAGTCCATGTACTCATTTGCTTTTTCAAATCTTCTCCTGGATCATATCCAGGCTCTCTCCTGCTCTTCACTTTTGCACCAGGAATGCTCCCCCCGTCTGAAAAGTCCCTTGGGATCCTTCAAGTCTCAGCTAGTACACCTGCCCAGGAAGCCTTCCCACCCATCAACCCTCTCAGGAACACGTAGGGCCCCTCCACCAGGCACAAGGAGCTCTCTGCACCCTCACATGGGATGATCTCTAATCCTTGCTTGTGAGTCTCACTGTGGTTCCCGAAAGATGGGACCATGATAGACTCCCCCACATCCATGGACCCCAGCACAGAGCAAGCTCTTGGTGAATGAGTATTATGGAGGAACAAATTAAGACACAGTGGGCCAAGAGCCCTACGGGGCTGGAGGCAGAGATTCAAGGAGTGAGTCATTCACAGGGAGGACAAAAGGCCTGCGTGCTGAGGGGGAAGTAAGGACAGCTTTCACGAACTGGGATGCCGGCTCTCTGGCAGCTGTTGGTGGAAGGCAGACAGGCTTTCTAGATTCCAACCATGTCTCCTTTTGCCTCCTCTCTGTGCAAACTACTTGTCCATCTGGAAGATTGTTCTAGAACCCAATGGAAGATCTAATAACAAGTCATTTTTACACTTCTCCATGAGGTTTGCTTTAAACATAGCATAACTGAGCTGTTCAACTCTCAACTTTCTGTGTTCTTCGCTCTTCAGATTGGAGCCACAAATGCAGGTGGATTTCCATGTGGCAGCGATGAGAAGTCCAACATTGCCTTCCCCTTCCAAGTGTTCTTTGGCAAGTGTGTGGTAATGAGCAGTCTTCGGAATGAAGGCTGGGGCTCAGAGGACAAGTCCTGTGAGATGCCCTTCACAGAAGGCCAACCATTTTCACTGGTCATCTCAGCACTGAAGAATGACTCCCAGGTCTCCGTAAATGGCAAATTCTGGCTCGGCTTTACCCATTGCATGCCCCTGAGCTCTGTGGAGATGATCCAGTGTGGAGAGATATCTCCCTGGCCTCTATCCAGGAGGGACCGTGAGCAGATGCAGAATCTCCTTTAGAAAAGTGGCTTCTCTGTGTAGATGATCATGTATTCCCTGAGCCCACTAACATTGGTTCCACACTGTTTCTTGAATGCATTTGGTCATTAAAATTATACACAACTTTAAAAAAAAAAATTGAGCTGTCCAGTTGACTTAATCCCTTCATTCACATTAGCTTCTTCAGTTCAAACATACAAGTAACAACAAAAAATGTACTTTTGTTTTTTGTTGAATGAAAAGGAGCTACCAGCTTCCTCCATGCAGAAAGCAAGAGAGTCAGTGTCAAAGTGAACATTCCCACTCTCCGTGAGAACTGAGGCCACCCCTGTGACTAAAGAGTTCTGGGACTATGGACTTGGGGGATCCCCCAGGATCACAATGGCTATAACACCAGAAACAGCCTGTCTGTCATGAGATGACTGTCCCCAGCTTTCACAAGGAGAAGTCACCCTCCCATTGGGAGTTAATCATGGAAGCTGAACTTCCCAGTGTCTTTCTGGGAAGAGTGAGTAGGGACTAGTAGTTTCCTGAGCTGCTGGGCTTTGTCCAAACATGTGACTGTGCTCTGAATGGTAGGAGATGGCTCTAAAATTGGGGAGAAATTAGTTACTTGTCCATTTCCTTGGTTGCCCACTCATTCATCCAACAGGCATTTACGGAACCCTTGCGGCATGCGAGGCCTCCATAGTGCTGCCCAGGGCTGCCATAATGAACAAGGCTGGATCCTATAGTCAGGAGCTCCCAACCCTGCAGTGGAGAGAGACACTCCTCCACTGATTCTAAAACAGAAAATGAAAGGCCGGGGAGGTGCGCAGCTAGGTAGGCCTTTGAAGTGGGTTGTCTTCCTGGAGGAATACGGTAGGGTGGCCCAGAGCCTGCTAGCTGCAGACATCCTAGGTGGGCAGGAAAGTGATTCAGAAGCAGAAGACCATGTATGCAAAGGCCAGAGATGACTGATATGGGATTGAGCAGGGATGAGGAGACTCAGGGGAATCAGGAAGAGAGGGGAGCTTTATAGAGGAGAACAGGGCAGGCGCAAAAGCAAAGAGCTCGCCTTTCGTTCTGTGGATGTAAAGGCAAAAGCAGGAAAGGCTTCAGGGGGGAAAATGGCTCCAAGAAATTTTTACTTAATAAAAGTCTCTGTCTCCCTGTCTCTCCATCTCTCTCTCTCTCTCTCTCTCTCTCTCTCTCTCTCTCTCTCTCTCTCTCCCCCTCCCTTTCTGTGCTTAATACATGGATTTGTACAGCAGTCTGACCACAGGCACATGCCCTGTTAGATAGCTACCTTAATATCCCAGGCAAGAACTGAGCAGAACTTGCAGTGAGGTTTCCCAGAATATGCAAATTTGCTCTGAATCTCGGACTACCCCAGGCTCTCATCTCAAAGCACAGCCTGAAACATCCATGGCATAAACAGATGCTGTAATTTTACAGTTTGCCAAGACTGTGCTGGGAAGGAAGGGCCCTGCTTTCGCCAGATCCTTAATGCAATCTTACCCAACACTGACACAGGCTTTGCTCTGAAGTAAACCTGAGAAGCCAACCTCAGACCCCTGACCCCTCCCAGCAGTTGCTTAAAATTTGAGAATTTAGAAAGCCTTGTGTTGTGAATTTTGACATTTTACCAAGATGACAATAGGACTGAAACACCTGGTTGCTCAAGTCGTAGTGTTTCTGGGGGTTCAGACCTGAACCAGTTTCTCTATCCAACACAAGGCAGCTCCCTGGCCAGCC